CGGCAATCATACCAAAGTCCCAGAGCGCTTGCACCCATCCCCCACTTCAATGCTAATACAGGGGGGGGGGCACACAGATAGACAGAGAAGGACCACAAAGTGGCATGTATGTGCAATAATTTTTTTTTTTTTTACTAGAGCCACGTAAACCCGTCATGTGTGAGCCATGAATAAGGGGAATGGTGGCGTGGTCTGGGATGCTCTGCCGACCTTGGGTCTCGGCTTCATCACAACCAGGCGCGTAATCTTGCCTTTCTTGGCATAATCATTGCAAGAAATGATATACAGTGTACATGATTGTGCATACATGTTACGTACTCAATCTCCGGACATCTACATGTAGCTAGCTGTTTCAACTTGGTTAGGTCTCATCAGCGGAGCTCGGCACGGGGTGACTGACACTGACTGTACTGCCCGAATCGATCGCAGTAAAGTCTGCTAATATTAATTAATAGTACATATTAGTATTAGTAGTGGCGTCAAGCATCAAAGTCAGGTCTAGCTGTGAGACTTCGCACGGGTACGGGGAAAGATATCGGTAACCATGGTAACTTTGACAGCAAAAAGTAGGCTCTAGATCTACTGAGCCGTGGTGAGTCATGAGGGAGCGTATCATGTTTTGAGGAATCAGGATCCTGGACCAGCGAACGAAGTTAGTTAGTTGATCACACTTTTTACAGGTATAAACGGTCAGGCGTGAGTGGTCTGTGCTTCACACTCTGACCCCTAGACAGGTTGAACTACTATACTGTAACTAAGGGCGCGTTCGAATTGTCACTCTTTGACTTTTCAAGGAGTTTCGTTTTTCTAAAGAGGTGGCCTTATTGGCCTCTTCAGAAAAACGAAGCTCCTCGAAACTCTCGAAACTCATCCGATGGGAAGGTGGATTGGTTTCGAAGAGTTGGAATAGCTACATGTACGTCACGTAGTACGTGGAGATGGTCGATCTGATCGGACGTCATCATCGCCATGACAATTCCACTGAAAAACTCTAAAATGATAGAAACCGTTCTAATGGGACACTTCAACTAATCTCTTTATAAAATTTGTTTGAACAGTTTGATGAAGACAATTCGAACGCGCCCTAACTAACACATTACAATACTTGTTTGTACCCATGGGTAATACTAAGGGGGCGTTTGAATTGTCTTCATCAACTGTTCCAACTTTTTTTAAGAGATTAGTTGAAGGTACTAGGTTCCCATTACTGGAACGGTTTCTAGTTCTATCATTTTTAGAGTTTTTCAGTGGAATTGTCATGGCGATGATGACGTCCGATCAGATCGACCATCTCCGCGTAGTACGTGACGTAGCTATTCCAAACTCTTCAGAACTAATCCACCTCTCCCACTCGGATGAGGTTGTGGAGTTTCGTTTTTCTGAAGAGGCCAATTTAGAGCGCGTTCGAATTGTCACTCTTTGACTTTTCGAGGATCTTCGTTTTTCTGAAGAGGTGGCCTTATTGGCCTCTTCAGAAAAGCGAAACTCCTCGAAACTCATCCGATGGGAAGGTGGATTAGTTTCGAAGAGTTTGGAATAGCTACGTCACGTAGTACGTGGAGATGGTCAATCCGATCGGACGTCATCATCGCCATGACAATTCCACTGAAAAACTCTAAAATGATAGAAACCGTTCTAATGGGACACTTCAACTAATCTCTTTATAAAATTTGTTTGAACAGTTGATGAAGACAATTCGAACGCGCCCTTAATAAGGCCACCTCTTCAGAAAAACGAAACTCCTCGAAAAGTCAATACAAAGAGTGACGAACGCGCCCTAATTAATCTACAACGTGCGAAAAAAAATTTGATCTAGCGTCAATGATTGAATCCTAAATTGTCACTTTTTTAAAGTTTCATAGTACATCTACGTAACATGTAACATAGGCAACCGCTTCATTTTTCATACAATTAAATTTTGTCATTTTGTCAAATTTGGTTCGACAACTGCAAACTACTGTATTCAATCACTTTGCAGTACTTGAAGGCATTGGTTATTTTCATTCAGAAGGAGTCGCTTGCATCCTGGCCTGGACCCCCAGTGTCACCGTGTCGGAGATTCTCATCACGCAAACCACCGTGTCGGAGATTCTCATCACGCAGACGACCGTGTTGTGAGCAACGAAGAGTTGAAACTATTATTACTTTGCAATGGCTGGGGGAGTATCACTAGCGAGCTGCTGCTGCTACATTGTGGTGATGGCTGTATCAATGGTGTTGCAGGCCTCCTTGGGAAGCTGTGCACGAGGTGTGGTGGAACTGGATACGCTAACGTTTGATAAGGTAAGACAGCTCAATGCTGTGGCTCAGGCCACGTGTTACGAGATTGGGGTGGGCGTAAATCTACATTTTATGGGTGGAGTGTCGGTAGCAGAGACACAGACATCAGTCCACTCTACTTATGTAGAACTCGTATTTAGTGAATTTCGTGTTTCGGAATTGTACCGAACCATAGTCCGTATATTCCTGTTTGAGCCCATTCAAAAGTTGACCCTTTTTAGCGAACTCTTTTCGTTTATAACGAACCATTCCGTGTAGGGTCGCATGATAACCAAGCCATGCCATGAGCTGCATGCCAGTCACGATGTGTTGGTTGTATGGTGTGAGTGCATTTCTCTTATAACGAACTTCGACTATAAAGAACTAATTTTCCTGCACAATGTTGTTCGTTATATCAGGAGTCGACTGTACACTATTTTTCTAGGCATTGCAGCAGTGTGTACACCTGGCGTGCTCTTGCCCCTTGGGTGCATACTCTGAGCTTTACGTTTGTGTTTGTTTGTGCTGAACTCAATGCTGGGGTTGTAAGGCACAGATCCTAGTCAGTTTTCAGAGATGAGAATATACCTTTCGATGCAGGAAATAATCATGTTTCATTGCTAACATTTCTTATGACAATGGTGAATGGCACATCTCAAAATGAAGATTCCGCAATTGCCATCATCACCCATGCGTTGTATTATGACTGTAGTATATCAAAGCCTATGATATCAGCAGGGGTGCCACAGTTCAGCGGGGAGTGGTACGACCAGAATCCGAGGGTCTCCCCGGTGGAAAAAATCAGATTTTTCAGCCGACAGGGCACGTTTTAGCGCTCTACAGGCGCTTTGGGCAAACCCTCCTGGACGAGAAGTGGTACAACCATGGTCATACTGGTCATGCCGTGTGTGACGCCTCTGATCAGAGTTTTGCTACTCCATACAAGGCATCTGAAATGATGACGTAATCGCATAACCTCCGTTCAGAGAAGTTCCAGTGATTTGAGGTTTGTGGGAAATTAGCCTGTATACAAACGATGTTCTGTTGCACCCATGCGCAGGAACTCAGTGCTCACAGCCATCTCATTGTCAAGTTTGACACATCCATGGCGTCCGGTGCAGCGGTGGATGCCTACAACAGCTTTGCACGCCTTGCTGCTAAGCAACCTGAGATCATGGTGGCCAGTGTGGGAGTGTCGCGTAAGTATAGCTGCGAATGTTGAAACACAGTAACATGGTGGGCAGGGATGGATAGGGTGTTGTGTGGCGGGGGGGGGGGGGGGGAGTGGGAGGAGGATATGGGAGTGATGCGAGAGGAAGGGAAAGGTGTGTGTGTGTGGGGGGGGGGGGGGGGGGGGGTGTCAAGTCCTTCACCACCAGGATATAAGTAGTTCAATTTTAAAAGGCACCTCGAAGCAAGAGAAGTTTTCATACAAATGAAACTCGATAAGATGGCTAAAGAGGGATACGCAAAGACGCACAGTTTTACCGTTGCATTATTAGACATACGGACAGACAGAGACAAAGAGAGATCCATAGAGAGAGACAGAGAGACAGAGACCTAGATGGCAAAATGGAGAGAACCGGTGACAGACACACACACACGCACACACACACACACACGCGTGCGCGCACGCACACACACACACACACACACACGCACACACCCCTCAATGCACTTCTAGTGTACCTGGAGTACACATGGGTAGGAACTTACTCTCCAGATGCTGTGCCCAGGTGGCAGCTATGCAGACCTTGTACCCAACTTAAATCTATACAGACCTTGTACCCAGCTAGCAGCTACATGTGCATCGCTCCTCAATTCTGACCATCTTCTGGTTTCACTTCTCTGCACTGACGACTTTTGTCTGTTGTTTCAGCCCACAGGGAAAAGGAGAATGAGGAACTGGCCAACCGTTTCAGCATCACTGCGAATGACTTCCCTCGTATCCTGCTCTTCGGCCATAGCCAATCCACAACCGTTGTGCCGCTATCGGGGAATGTAACCGTTGAGAACCTGGTTGCCTTTGTCAGGAGACACTCTGATTTGTACATTGCGTTTCCCGGCTGCTTGGAGGTATGACATTGGCTGTCTACATTCTTTCTGGTGCTATTAGAGGTTACACAGTACATTTAGTCAAACTGTTTTTAATACCCAGGTACGGAGAAGGGAATGTTAAGCTTTACTGCCGCTACTCGGAGTTTCACACTTTGGCGGACATCAGACATCACTCACTGCAATGCTGATGTAATTCGCTGTGTGTGTAATCATATACACAGTGGAACTCAGTTAGTACATACCCTGATAATACATACGGTGGAACTCAGTTAGCACATACCCTGATAATACATACGGTGGAACTCACATAGTACAGCCGATTTATACGCTCACTTATGGCATTTCTTGCCTAGCCCGCCCTAGAGGTCAGCAGGTCCAGGAATGCGAGTTGCATAGACCACAAACCAGGTAGAACTTCCAAATCCATGATCGAAGCACACATCGTTTCGGATACAGGTCCGCGTGTCACCTCCCTAGTGTGGATGGATCTTGAGCATTGGATGATGTAGGATACTACTGTCCATGACATTATCATGAGAATCAGCAGGCCTGAATGTCTATATCTATGGGTATTCCTGGTGCTACTGCTGATCTACTTCAGAGAGTCTTTTGCTCATCTTGACCATAATCAATGGTTGGTGATGTTGTGTTTCGAAGCACTCTACTTGCGCTCAACGCAGAACTCCATTTTTCAACATGCGAGAAAGCTTTTGAAAACATTGATGAGGTCTAGCGAGCTCCCTAGGACTAGCAGGACAAGGACAGTGCCGACATACCGTCAACTTTGCGTATAACGACACTCGGCGGGGCATCAGAAAAGTGTCTTTATTCGCGAAATGTCCTTATACCCGAGGTCTCATTATAATTATGTATCACAGTTAGATGGGACTTTGCTCTGGGCATGGAAATTCTGTCGTTATTCACGAATTGTCGTTATATCCGCAGTCGTTATTAGCGAAGTTGGCTGTATGTTGTTTTCCCTATTGTCTGTCTGCATGCCTTAGTCCTGTTGCCGCTTCGTCTTCCTTCTGCCAGCAATACATTTGCTTACCTACTTGGTAGCAGAAGCACCGGGGATGGCCATTTTCAAATGATTTGTATCTCTCTCTCCCCCCGGAACTCTCCCACTCTCCAGACCACATACCAGGACGCTTTGATTTGAATTGTGTTTGACTGTTTGCGGCATTCATTTCTTCTACTGTGCAGGAGTTTGATCAGCTGGCAGCTAGGACGTTTCATGTTGCCTCATCCAATGCCAACACGTTTCAACTAGATGCAAAGAAGCTAGCCTCAAAGCTCACCAATGAGGATGAAATTGCCTCAGCAAATGTTTACATCGAGGTCAGTCCTATTGTTAGCTACATGTGTAAACACAAAGTTTCAAGGTCCTCAGGATAAGGCACGCGTTGGTAGAGGGGCATTGCAGTGAAGGCTAATTTCATCTGCAAGATGTGTAATTAGTAGGGTAGTTGGGCCTCACAACTGCAAAACATGTTGTGTAAACTTATAGGTGTGAGTGTCATGCGTGCGTGTGTGCGTGCTCTCTCTCTCTCTCTCTCCTCTCTCTCTCTCTCTCTCTCTCTCTCTCTCTCTCTCTCTCTCTCTCTCTCTCTCTCTCTCTCTCTCTCTCTCTCTCTCTCTCTCTTTATCTTCCTATCTATCTATCTACCCACCTATGTTTCCCCCACCCTGCTCATCTGATGTTTGCAGATATTTGGCTTAATCACCTCGCGTGGTCCTCGATTCCCATCCAATGAAGTCAATCGAGTGAAAAAATCGTTTGCCACCGAACTCAGCGAGGGGAAGAGGAAAGCGCTTCAACTCAAGCTGAATATTCTGCAATCGTTTATACGCCCCGCTGTGGATCAGAATCCACATGGCAGGGATGAGCTTTGAGCTGTGTGTCAGACCCAGATACTGACTTGATTCTATCGGATCTCGATAGACACCGTGAACTTGCTTTTCATCTCGATTGCAATGCACTGCCCTGAGTATTACCTGTGGTAACTTGATCAATTTCCTTGGAGTAGAGTAGAGTAGAGGAAAGTTGTTTTATTGAAAGGGGCCAAATGCTACTTGTACCGCTCACCACAATACGAATTATAGTGATTTTCTCGGAGACAACATATTTTGACTATTTACGTCGCCGGTGCTGTCAACTTTGGAATCTTGATACTGTACATTGGCTAATTTTGGCAGGTAAAAAACATGTTTGAGATTTTAACCGCTTAAAGCTATTTATGAACTAGCACGAATTTGGAAGGGGATGATGTTTATCAATAAATTTGTCATGTCATCAAAGAAGGCATACATATTGCATGCTATGCAAAACACAAGCTTTCTATTGGCACCATTAAACTTTACCGAAAGCGCCCTGTTCGCCAAGCTTGCTAAAATATTCAAGCCACTCAAATAATACAGGACACACATATCCAAAGGACTAGACACATGTCCGCTGTAAGGAGAAGTGTGTTGATTGTCCTGCGGGGAAGGTGTGCTGATTGTTGCTGGGTATCACAGAAGGCACTTGATCCTTATTGAGATTGCTGGGGACTAAACAACTATCCTGTATACGGAGGCATCCTTTGTTGGGAGGTGTCCTTCGTTGGGAAGTAGCCTTTCTTGGGAGGTGGCCTTCGTTGGGAGATGGCCTTTGTTGGGAGGTGACCTTTGTTGGGAGGTGGCCTTTGTTGGGAGGTGGCCTTTGATCTGAGGGGTCCTTTGTTCAGAGTCGTCCTTCAGCTGCATGGTACATGTGTCCTTGACAGCACTAGATCACCAAATTCAAAATAGTGCACAACCATGGCCACAGGTAGCAAACAGGTACGGTGTTCTCCGGAGCACTTTGAACACCAGTAACTCACCCAAAAGAAGTCGGTGCGCCTTATACTACGATGGCCTAGTTAACGGTGATAAACAGGGTGTGCCCTGATGATGCCCAATGGGCGAAATATTGGCAAAGTTATTTATTTGGTGCAGCTGAGAGAGTGCAAGAAATACGCTGAAATGGAGTTTGGGAATTCTGAAGAAACGTATGTGTCTTTCGTGACTAATAATCTGGGCCTGCTCTCTCCCTGTCACCTGATCATGGGGTGGTGGCGTCCCACGGAAGCGGAAAGTTGGTTCTTGACCAGGGAGTTGTACGACTCCTTGTTCTTGACCTGCCCGGTACGCGAACCCGTCGAATTTTTTTCTCTCTCTGTGTTTAATTGCACATGTGCATGATGTCGTGTGACAGGGTGATACAACAGTTAGCAGCACTGAGTGTATTACTAGACCATGTGGGACGTAGGAGGGCATGTTGTCACTTGTACTGAAAATATTGACATTATATGCATGCTGTGCTAGGTACGTGCGTATTGTACTAGGCACATTGCATGCTGTACCCGGGACGTATGCATTTTGTTTTCCACGTTCGGGCTCTCCGCCTTCTCCGTGAAATAATATTTTAAAAAAAGGGTTCTGCATGCCGGCTCTCCGGACATATGCATGCTGTACCCGGGACATATGCATGCTGTAGTAGGGACGTGTGTATTGTATCCAGCATGAATGCTACATGCCTGCCCGAAGTGGTGAGCACTGTACCACTTTCATTAGTATTTTGACTGTCAGGTATGATGTCATCACTTCCAAAATCGTAGCTGCCTTTGCTCGCTTGCTACCGCTGCCACTGATTTCACTAGCCAGGCTCCTCCTGGTATTCATGGCAACCACACAACTGCTGTTGGCTAGTCCCACTATCCTTGCAATGAGCTGGCATGCATTACTGGCTCATAATAAAATACAACACAACAAAAAATATGTACACAGGCCTCTAAAAATAGCCTGTCTCTGCATACATTCATGCGATTACTCCTCCCGCTATCGTATTATCACACCTCTCTCCACTTAGATATACCAGTGCTGCCTCCTATTCCATTATCGTTGTCTGATGATTGGTTCAGCCATGAAACTCTGAGTCACAACAGAATTTGCCTAGGTTTTCATTGTGTGGCTCATATGTAGTATACTAGTAGCTGAAGTCCATGGCTGTACCACGGCTAGCATTGCTGCTGGTTGTGTCGTCATTATGAATTCATCACGGCTTGGTTGCAGTGAAACCTGGCTGTGGCTGACCAAGAGATGCTATCACCAAGTCAGCTGGCCCCTGCACCCTAGCTCAGCTGCCGATCTGTAATCCCTCAAGGCCCTGCACTGTCATCTCAGCTTCAGGCTGATCTGCTACTGCTGCTGCAGCGCTGCACGTGCATTCACTGGTCATGTAGATCTACAGCACAGGTTTCTCTCCTGTCAAGTTGATAGATCACGCGGCCTGTCGACGCCTGTCAAGAGCGTCCTGTCCAGTTTGCCCAGTGTACCATGTGCAGTACGGTGTCCAAAAATAGAGGGGTATAAAAGGCTGAGGCCTCAATCAGTTTGCGACACTTGCAGTCCCGGAGAGGTCAGTATGAGGAGCAACAGCGCTCTGCATAGCTTGGCTGTTCCTGGCTCGTAGATCCAGGGAAGTGTGAATGGCTTTCCCGTTGGTTCCACTAGCGGAAAGCACTTGCGGAGGAGGTGCACCGTAACGTCAGTCTGGTCCTTGTCACGCTCATGCTACCAGTATGCTGAATATGTATGACTGTATGCGTATGCCGGGCAGGCCATGTTTTGCTGATTGTTTGTGAAGTCTGCTAACAGGGACCATTTATTAATCAATGCCACGCCGGTTGAAAGAAACATTAGCAACAGTTCATCATAATGGCAGTAGGCAGCACCCAGAGAAGACTGTCCATCATGTTTTTGCAAGAAGGAACCATCTCCGTCCTCGCCGTTGCACTGACCAATGTCCAGTATGACATGAAGGCGATCACTCATGCAGGCACGCATGCGTCCACTTGCGCATGCATCCACGCGCACATGCACGCACGCATCCACGCGCACATGCACGCACGCATCCACTTCCGCATGCCTGCACGCACACATTCAAGCACAAACGCAAGGCGCGCACGCACACACAGAGTAGGTTAATGCACACCGGATGCCCTCTATCCGTATGGATGGCTACACACACAGCAACCAGCATACACACCTGCACACGCGCACGTAAGCCGCACACATGCACCTGCCAGTTTGGCTTCCATCAGGTTTTTGTTTGAGACGAATAGTCATGTGATAGTATTGTAGTGAGAGGCAGTAGCGTTATGCAACTGCTGGGTATAAAATATATAGCCGGTTTACAAAGGGGATAGCAAATAGATCGGATAAACTCATAGTTCCTTGTACAAGTCTGGGGTGCAGATTGAATTGTCGGATTGGTGGACGAGGATTTAGCGATAATTTCCGAATTGAATACTCTGAAGCATCCTGTGTTGTGCGGAACTAGGTGTGCACGAAGGCATTGCCAGCAATACCTTATCTAAGTAGAATGGTGTAGCATGTGTCCAGTCCGGAATATGCATGTCTATGTGTAATGGATTACGTCATAGGCGATTACATCGCGGAGTATTGCATCATGGAGTTTGTAAATTTGTATACACCCATGCCAGATGGGGACTGTCAAGATAGGTGCATACAAGCATGGCCATTAAGTTAATTAGCCTTGCGTGCAGCATCTTTTGTCGTCAGCTCCTTCAATACCGACATATACGTGGTTCGATCCCGGTCGCGCGAGCGAGAGGGATTCGGAAACGCCTCGTCGGACGATGCGTCCTGCCCAGCAGCTCCTGCGCCTAAGCCAATCAGCACTACTTGCCCTCGGGAGTTTATTGATTTCGGTGAGGCGGTACTTCCGTGGGCGCTTGCCGGTGATGCTGCGTTGGTGTTCCCCGGCGCATATTCGTGAGTCAGATGAGCAGCAGTGGCAGTGGCTGCGACTGGGCTAGCCAAGGAATCTAGCTGATTGAGAGGGTGTCTGTTCAACTTCACCGGTGACACGGTAACTGATGATCGGCCTCCGGTCTCCGCTATCGCCGATTGTCTGTTCCGTGCATCGCGGCCCAGATTAGCTGGTTGCACCGCGGTGCTGCCTATCTGCACCTCAACTGGTGGAAACGTTGGCTGGCTGTACCCTCGCCGTGACAACGGCTCGTGGGCGACCTGCGGGTTCTGTAGGCTGAGCTGGCGCACGATGTTGCCTTGCTCAATGCCGCCGACGACGTCGATAGCCGTCTGCGGCTGGAAAGCGTGCCGCGGTGATGCCGTCTGTCGCAGTGGTGCCGTCTGCCGTGGTGGTGCCGTCTGACGCGGGATCTTGCCGTGCGTCACCAGGTTCTGCATTTCGGCCACGGCATTTTCCAGCGGGTCTGACGAAGCAGCAGCACCAGCAGCAGCGGAGGTAGCTGCGGCAGCGGCTGCAAGAACAGACGCTAGATCGCTGGTCATATCGGGGACTACTGAGCCCGGCGGTGCAAAGTCATCCAGTTGAGATGAGCGGCGTTGCAGGCTTCTGTTGTCGAAATCAGGTTTCCTGGCCCCGTCAGGGTGGTGATCAGCGGCAAGAGAATGATACGGATCACTTGTGCTCGATAATAGAGAGTTTGATGTCTGCACCGGTACTAAGGATGTTGAGCTCGTTGATATGATGTGATAGCGGGCCTGAGGTGATACAACTGGTACGCCTGCTGAGGCTGCTCCACCTTCTCTCTGCTGCTGCAGCTGCTGCTTCTTAGCGCTCTCAGTCAATGATAAACTCGACTGTCTTGAACTCAAGACGCTGGTGGTTGCTTCCCCGGAACTCTGCCTGTCCGACATTTCCAGCGGATTAATGTAGTGCATTCGGTTTCCTATGCTGCCCACCGACACACGGCTAGCTTGGTCGACGGGGTGGTCCGGGGGAGGTTGGGGCATTGCCCCCGGTTCGGGTTCGGCCAGCGCCCGCGGGTCGGTGCCCGGGGAGTATTTCCGAACGCCTTGCTGCTGCCCGGTGCTGCTCTCTACAGACAGGGATGGGCGCCTGGGCTGCTGCGTCCCAGTGCTGCCTGGCGCAGCTTGAGCTGCCACCGCAGAAGACTGACTCGCTGCCAGCACTGCCTCATGGGCCGCCGCTGCTCCACGGGCCAATGGCTGACAATTTGTGTCCATCGAGAACATGGTTTCGTCGATGTGACCGATGCCGTCGCTAGCAGCAACGGGGACGCCCGGCGTAGGCGCATCGTCCACGAACAGATCCGCGGCGACCATCGCTCGCCTGGGCACGCCCGAGTGATGCGTCGAAGTCTTACTACTGCCCCCGCCCAGCGAGCGAGAGAAACTAGGTATGGAGAGAGACGTCGACGTCACCGTGGACATTTGTGTATTGAACATGGACGACGATTCCGCATCACGATCTCTCTTTGACCGTCGTCTCCTGTAACGACGGCAACAGTACCTTGGCAGCACACATATCGCTATGAACACTAGAATGCCGCCGAGAACAAAGCCAGCCGCTCCTGCCCCGACGTAGTGTCGCCCTGTGTGTGTGGAACGGAACATGCACAGTCACACAGACACACACACACACACACGCACACACACACACACACACACACACACACACACACACACACACACACACACATGTACACACACACACACACACACACACACACATACACACAGGAAGGCTTGCTGAGTCATACTTGCACTGGAAATTTCTGAAAGCTCTCAAACTCAGTCGCATAATATTATTTTTTAAGAACTTGGACGGCACACGTTTTTCTTACTTTCCCGTGAAAGTTTGTGAACGTTATGAAGTGGCATTCTATCATGTTTGCTTGAAATCAGTAAGTATGTACCGTATTTTCGGAGTGTTGGCTGCACTTTAAAAGGCCTTTTTACTCAAGAATCGCCCTGCAGCTTAGATTCCCAATCCTGGATTTGAATCGACCAGCGCTACATCACGCAATGCGTGTTATGGATGTGTGGTCTCATTCAACTACTTTTCATGCCCTGCAATCCATCACTGTGCTAGCACAAAGCTTCTACATGTTGTCAGTTCTGGGTGAAGGAAAAAATAGGCAACAATTTTTTATTTACTTCCGCCGTGCTTCTCAACTTTTCCACGTCTTGTATGTACCGATACCCATTTTATTACGTTGAGAAAATCCAAAGGCGTGTGGCTTACACTGAATGGCAACAAGAATACGAATTTTGGGCCTGAGGGGGGGGGGGGGGCGGTGTGCGGCTTAGACCCCGACGTAGTCAACACCCCGGAGATACGGTATGTTCGCAGCTAATTGCGTCGTTCCTAGTTGCGGGCCATGCCTAGCCACGGCGGGTAATTCCTCGTCACGGGCCATGCCTAGCCACGGCGGGTAATTCCTCGTCGCGGGCAAATCCTAGTTACAGACAGTGCTCGGTCCAAATCTGCTGAGGGGAGTTATTTTATTTTATTCCAAGCAAAACATGGCTGGGGAAGCCAATGACCACTTTGCATGGCGATTACAGGGTTTTTATAGCCAACCACGGCTTACAAGGAAAAGAGTAGGAAGTCAAAAGGAAAAGAAGAAAGAAGCAAATATGGACAAAAATTGTGGTCTACTGGTAAAGCAAGGCGTTCCTGAATTATACTGCAACCCAACCATACACGTGTATGTAGTTTCGGCTATAATTTTCATATCGCTATGGTGCTGTCGAATGTAGTCTTGTAGAGGCAGGCGTGTGTACCGGATAAACAAAATCATCATAAATATTACAAATTACCCGACAAGATGGATTCTGTGTGCATGTCGGTTTGGGAGATTCCAACACGCCATCAAATCAACTTCTAATCATGCACGGTACATGACTACCTACACATTTCCGAGCAAAACTTACAGCAATCGAAGAATTGGAATGACGGACAGGTCGAAATGGTAATCGTTGAATTAGTCGTCGAATTATCCATTGCGGTTCCCTTACTGCAACCTAGAAGCGCTCGGCGAGGCGAGTGGTTGGGCGATGAATGCCGCTCGTAGCTTCCAAGCTACGGTAGCCGGATTCTTGCTTTCCTCGCTAGTCACATTGTTACTCGAAACAAGTCGAAACAAAGCTGCTGCACACTTTCGAGATTTGTCAATACTGAAAATTAATTGAGCCTAGTCCTATTGCTGAGTGCAGCCGGGCGACAGTATTTTCCTGGGCCTGGAAGGCAGGATTAGGGATGCATGCACCCAAGAGGTTCACAACCAGCCGGTCTCGGGTCTGCTCGACTCACACCAACGCAACAGTGCACTAGTGAGCAAGGGTCAGATAATTCTACCTTGCAACAAATCTACATGCATCACTATCATGTGCAGTGTTTGTTGCAGCACAATCGGGGAGTCACCAGCACCAAATCGTATTGATTTCCATGCTAACATAGCCAACATACCCAGTGCACATACAACTAGTAATAATAATACGATGCTCATGTGTGCGTGTGTGTGTGTGTGTGTGTGGTGTGTGTGTGTCTGTGTGTGTATAGTTTGCGGATACACCTCTATCCCTATCCCCGTCCTTGGCGTGAGCAGCAGCAGCAGATCTTCGGCAGTGGAGTCTACTGCTAGTCAAGTGTATTGCGATAGTATCACTATCAGGGAAATCCGCATCTACTGCATAGACATGTATAGGCTCAGGACCGGAGCTTGGTAGGACCACCTCTCGGACGCGAGACGCTCGGTATGCGGTGATGCTTGTCGACACTCAGGACGAGAGATATGGCTTTTCACAGGTCACCACACGTGGCTTCGTGTTTGTTTCATGTGTAAAGCGCAAAGCGGACGTCCATGTCCCCTCTCCAAGTAGAATCTACGCTCATAAATCCCCGGCCCTGCAACCATAGGGAGTTTCACGCTCGAACTGTTCGGCGAGTTCGCGTTGGGTGGCGCAGTCATGGGAGAAGAATGACAAACTGACAGCTGACCACCACCAGGGCGACCGAGAGCCGTAGATCTATGCTCAATCAGCATGCATAATGTATGAGACAACGGAGTGACATCGAGCTGAAAGCCAACCTGTAGCATACACCTACAAGTACAAGCAGAATGCTTGGAGAGCAGCGATATCACGAGATGCGACGACACCTTGCTCTTGTCACGACCGGTTCCGAGAAAATGAAACAGTCTAACTGGTAGTGCCACTTTCCCGTCGGTAATGGAGAACGCCTGCGTGCACTGCAGAATCCGGTCCTAACCCAAAAATACTCTCCCAAGCTATTCGCAAGACTGCCGCGAGTCAGGAACATAATACACCACTGTCCTTTCTGAACTTCTTGTTAGTAACTGTGAGGCGGGAGATCGACAAAACAACACGCATGCAGAGGAGAAACACACAGATTCCTAAACACACAGATTCCTAAACACACAAACTCCTGACAACAGCACAATCATGTTCTGGTGGTGGCCGGTGAGCCGTTCCTGCATGTTTGCTGGTCTACACTGATTCTAGGTGATGAGTCGGGCCTGTATTCGTGTTGGTCTTCGCTTGGCGTCCGAGTGGGTAACAGTGACGAAGACCATGCGTCCTCGACATTGACATAGCCGCTGACCCGAAATAGCAGTGGAAACCACTCAAAATCAACAAACCTCTCCCGTGTGTCAGATATGGAAGAAGGAGGCAATTCCGTGCCCAAAGGGCCCCTGTGCATGTTTCAAGCAAGGTTTGACGCATCCTCTAGTGTGGAATAACAGCACACTATGGCTTGCCTCATATCCTGACCTGAGCGCACTGTGCTAGACCGGACAACTAATGAGCACAACTAGTGCGTTATTTCTAGCACCGTTTCTGGGGAAATGGCTTTGTGTGAATGTCTGATGTTGCAATCAAACCACATCCTACAGTCCAGCACTATGGGGAGCTTACAACGATGTACATGTACATGTATGCTCACTATATCACATACATGTACTAGCTGTGCATGATGTACTTGAATAGAGTTCAGAGTATGATATTTAAAAAACCTTTTCCTGGATGTGATAAAAGTAGTCAAGTGGTGTGCTTCACTGTCCGAAGAGTGCTTAATACCCATGTGGGGCAGAGCCTTATACACAAGAGAGAGATTGGAAGCTTTGTTACAACTCTGAGTTTCACGGTTTGCCTGATGATCGTAGTAATACGTGAAACTCAGAGTTGTGACAAAGCTTCCAATCTCTCTTGTGTGATAAAAGTATGGAATTAGCCTTGGGACTTGGGCTGTTGTTCGTGTGTCTCTAGCTACTATGTTTCCACTGCCATGGATTGCTTCCGGGACGCCCCGGGTGGAAAAAAGATAGAATTATACAACTCTTATGTTCAGGCTCCCTGTTTTGGAACATGAGTTGCCTGATGATCGTGACTTAATTAACGTCAAACTCGGAGTCGCAACACAGCTTTCTCTCTCTCTCTCTCTCTCTCTCTCTCTCTCTCTCTCTCTCTCTCTCTCTCTCTCTCTCTCTCTCTCTCTCTCTCTCTCTCTCTCTCTCTCTCTCTCTCTCTCTCTCTCTCTCTCTCTCTCTCTCTCTCTCTCTCTCTCTCTCTCTCTCTCTCTCTCTCTCTCTCTCTCTCTCTCTCTCTCTCTCTCTCTCTCTCAACCCTCAAAGTTCTTGATCAAATAATAATTGACTGCGTTCCAATCTTGAGGTATGTGTAGATGCAGCAAAGCGCTGTCGACGCCCGTTGCTTGTTCTCCCTGGTGAGTAGTGTGACACTACTAACACGTACATGTAAAAGCACCTGTAGTTACAGCACACGATCCCTTAATCGTGTAGGTACAGACGACCAGGCATACAATCAATACAATAATCAATCATGTACTCATAACTACCGGTAGTCATGGGTTCCCTATGGCACCAGACGTCGTCATAGCAGCAGGCATCTGCAATAAACAATAAACACCATCAAGTATAGGAGAACAATGGGAATTCCGTGCAGTAGTAGAGGCGGGGGGGGTTCTGGCCCAGATCTGAACCCACTTGAACTTTCAAGTACCCCACTTGACCTTGAACCCACTTAAACACTAATTAGCTTAATTGACCGCAAAGAGGGCGTGGCTTCCGGTGGGAGGAGGAGCTAAAGAAGGAGGTGTTAACCGGGGGCGTGTGTCTATGGAGGCGTGTCTCCTTGTGTCCCCATGGTGTTAAATCCCAAAGGTTCATGCATGTGACTCTTGTGTGTGTGTGTGTGTGTGTGTGTGTGTGTGTGTGTGTGTGGGTGTAGTACATGGTACATCATACTACATTGTACATGGTACATGGTGTCACTGTCTCTCTCTGTGTGTGTGTGTGTGTGTGTGTGTGTGTGTGTGTGTGTGTGTGTGTGTGTGTGTGTGTGTGTGTGTGTGTGTGTGTGTGTGTGTGTGTGTGTGTGTGTGTGTGTGTGTGTGTGTGTGTGTGTGTGTGTGATGACTAATGTCTGTATGCGTGCACCTTACGTAGTGTTGTGGCCTGTCTGAACCTGTATCTGCGGAAAGTGATGAGTAATCCATTCCCCTCTTGTATGTTTATACTTTGTCGGAACATGTTCATCTCCTTGCAATATGGAGATGGTGGGATCATGGTTCATGTTCAGGCTTGTTTTGAGTGCAATAAGGAAACTCATACACCTTTGGGTGTATGGATCAAAATACCCTCTTGAGTTTGTCCGTTCTTGTTTCAGGATGTTTGGTCTTGTCGTAAACACCCCTGGCACCTGTGCATGTCTGAGTCACCACATCCTTTGGGGAGGCTATGGTTTATGTTGCTGACTGCTGTGATCGTGCGATAGGCGATCTCCTCCGCGGACATGTACGTGCAGGAGCTAGCACTGTCCCCCTGAACACAGTTCTTGTTCCAACTTGTTTTCATCGTGCAAGAAGCAACTCCTACATGTTGGTTTGTGTATGACTCACCACAACCCATTTGAGTTGTCCTGACTTGTTCGCTTGACCCGTCTTTTGTGGTGTATAAAAGGCCGTGCTCTTCGCCTCTGGACCATATCACTCCTCCGATCAACACCTGAATCTTCTTCTTCCTTTTACCTAGTGTAAATCGTTGTCTCTCCATTTTAAAGCTATGGATACCTTCACTATTATTACCGATGGTGTTGAGAAAGGTGCTCAAGTGCAGCACAAGGTTACTGGACGCACTCACAGTCGTCTTTCACCAGGAGCCAGGTTTCACCATACAAAATTCGCTCTACCTGCTTTCTCCGCCACTGCAACGGCTCGGCAAGATAGGTTTGAGCAGATCAGGGTGGAGATCGAGATGTCGCTCGACGAAGTTGTACGATCACTTCTAAAGTGCTCGTCAACAGTGCGACGTGCTGTGACATGTGCGAATGTGAAGCGCATTGGGACGAATTTCTTCCCCCAATCCTGTCGGACATCTGACAGCGAGACTGGCAGTGACAGGAGATTTGTCACCGCGGTATATGTGCGAGGAAGTGAGATGGTGGGGGCGAAAGCCTTCGTGCTGGACAAACCCTTTCAAGTGTTAGTGTGTCCCTCGACCGTCAGTGTCATAAGAGCTGCAGGAAAGTTTAAATGTCTGCTGGCAGCCATCCCGCAAGTCTATGCCGAAGAGGTTGATCATATTCACCTGAGGACATTGGAGGACACTGATGTAACACTTGACATCGGAGAGAAGGAACTCGATGAACTGCTCGAGGGTTTCGCGAAGAAATCCAGGAAGGTGGAGGATGACGAAGACGACTGCGCTGATGAGTTCGACGAGCTCTTTAATTGAACTGTGTGTGTAACATGTGCATCCATTAGCCACATGTATGTCTGGTTAGTACTCATCCCTAACTCTAGCACTACCTGTATATAATCTCCAGCACTGTTTTGTTTTTCTGTGCTCGTGTTTTTCAACACGCTCAAGCATCTGATTTGTATTTATCTATACATACACTCTCTCTCTCTCTTTCACTTCTCTCTCTCTCTTTCATTTTCTCTCTCTCTCTCTCTCTCTTTCAGTGTTCGTGTTTTTCAACATGCTCTAGCATCTGATTAGTATTCGTCTCTACATATACTCTCTCTCTCTCTCTCTCTCTCTCTCTCTCTCTCTCTCTCTCTCTCTCTCTCTCTCTCTCTCTCTCTCTTTCATTTTCTCTCTCTCTCCTCAACCATTCTACCTCACCTACTCTTGTCTTTCATCTGTTTTTCAACATGCTCTAGCATCTGATTAGTATTCGTCTCTACATATACTCTCTCTCTCTCTCTCTCTCTCTCTCTCTCTCTCTTTCATTTTCTCTCTCTCTCTCCTCAACCATTCTACCTCACCTACTCTTGTCTTTCATCTATCCACTAACCTTTACTATTACTACTTTAGCATGCTATTTCTCGTGCTCGTGTTTTTCAACACGATGTAGCACTTGCTTAGTACCTCCCTCTCCATCACCACACACACACACACGTAGGTCATATTGTTCACGTATTATTTCAGGAAAGAATCGTAATGAAATAAATCATTGTAATTATTTCATGAATTAATCGTAATGAAACAAATCATTTGCTATGTGTTACATGCATATGGCTTCGAGTGAAAGAAAGGCTACTTGTAGATCACTTCCCAGTTGTTATCGCGGCCGTACCAGCTGGTCGTGTGTGTAGTTGAAAAACATATGCACACACACACACACACCAAACAAAACAAAAAAACATTAGTAGATGTACCATGAGCATTCTGTGTAACCAGGAAATTTTTGTAACACCAATTACTTATCAAGTACTTCGCACTCAAGTTGAACAGATGTAAAAAAAAAATAATAATAATAATAATAAATGCAAGTAGGCTGAAGATGTACAGTGTACTTGAAACAGGTCTCTTGACAACGAAATACAACACGCACACACCCGCACTTACAAAAGCCACGTATGCTCCGGCAGCTTGTATGTGGATCTCATATCTCCGTAAAATGCCTCTCCTTGTTTGCATGCAGCTTCCACATGACTCGGATCGACACAGTGGTCCGGCTTTATTGATTTTTCCTTGCTGTTCGAAAGGCACAGATACACACACACACACATATGTCCGTCCTAAAACAGTTTTAATCACCCTGTACAAATCACGCATTTCACAACTTACCACATGTCGCAATCCACAAAAGTATTTTGGAACTGCGTTATCTGACGGTGGCGTCGGCCCATCAGGTGGTCCAGCAACTGCTTGAGACCGTTTAGCTTGACATTGCAGTTGAAGCAATAAAACATCATTGACTACTAGCAGGGGTGGTAGTAGTATTGACTGATTTTATTTTTCTTTCAATATCATGAGCTAGCTCAGTCAATCTCCACTCTTTTATGCCCTGCTTTTTTTATCTTTTTCTCTATAGACGGTCTTCAAATTACACTTCAAGTCTTTGTTTCAAGTGAGTTGAAGGTTCTAATTATCTGTGGGCTAGCAGTGTGGGCCAGCAGTGTGGGCTAGCAGTGTGGGCTAGCAGTGTGGGCTAGCAGTGTGGGCTAGCAGTGTGGGCTAGCAGTGTGGGCTAGCAGTGTGGGCTAGCAGTGTGGGCTAGCTCACTTCAGCTATTCTATTGTGTATCCCATTATCATAAATTCCAGAGTGTTGCACGATCTTTATTTTCTTAGGAATGGGCACCAACTTCAAACCTTCCAGAAGGTTCTGATTGCCTGTGGGCTAGTTGACTTTAGCCATCCTATTGTGTATCCCTTTATCATAAATTCCAGAGTGTTGTACTTTTGTTCTCGTTTTCTGCGTGCGTGTGTATGTGTGTGTGTGTGTGTGTGTGTGTGCGCGCGTGGGCGCGGGTATGCATCCTACCCAGGGCCTGATTCTATTGAGAAGCTGTTCTCTTCTCTTGCGAAGGAGGACGAGAAAATTACCAAAGACCTGCGCGATGCCGTGCCTCTGAGTATTAGTGTAGATGACGAGCAGCGATTTCTCAATGCCACCAACTGTTGGATTTGCGAGCAGCAGCTAGACGATGACCGTGTACGAGATCACGATCATGTGACCGGGAGGTTCCGTGGTGCAGCTCACAGCGAGTGTAACCTGAAGTTGCAAATCCATCCTGCACACCAGGTCGTTCCTGTGTTCTTCCACAATCTGAAGGGTTACGATGCTCACCTCCTGATCTCGCACATCGGTCTTACACCTGTTACTGTGGTAACCGTTACTGATGACAAGAACAGGAAAAGAAAAAGGAAGGTGGGTGGCATCGAGGTGATCGCCACTAACATGGAGAGATACATCTCCTTTAAGTGGACACGCTTCAAGTTCGTTGACAGCATTGCCTTTCTGAACTCATCGCTGGACAGACTGGCAGGCAACACGCCCGACGAAGCGTTTCAGCATCTGCGCTCGCTCTTGTCTAAGCTTCGTACATCGCCCACCGCTCCTGCTGTTGCCTCTGCTGAAACTCCTGCTCCTGCTTCTACCGCTACTGCCACCGCTACTGCTGCTCCTGCTCCAGCCGCTGATATGCCTGACGATGCGTTGTTCCAACTGTTGAGAAGGAAGGGCGTGTACCCTTATGAGTACATGGATTCCATGGACCGGTTTTCTGAAACCTCCCTACCTCCCAGAGCTGAGTTCCACTCGAGCCTCTCCAACAGCAGCGTTAGTGAAGCTGACTATGCACATGGACAGCGTGTGTGGCAGACGTTCGACTGCCATAATCTCGGCGATTACCACGATCTCTACCTCCAAACTGATGTGAACCTGCTCGCTGATATCTTTGAAAACTTCCGTCGCACTGCCATGAGAATATATGGACTGGATCCTGCACACTACCTAACTCTACCTGGATTCGCCTGGGACGCCCTTCTAAAAATGACGCGTGTTTCTCTGACTCTTCTGAGCGACAACGACATGCATCTATTCCTAGAACGTGGTCTTCGCGGCGGTGTCTCCATGGCCGCCACACGTCACTGCAGAGCCAACAACAAGCACATGACCGAGTTTAATCAGGATCAACCCAGCAGCTACATCCAATACCTCGACGCCAACAATCTATACGGTTGGGCAATGTGCCAGCGTCTTCCCATAACGGACTTCAAGTGGTGTGACCTTGCTCCCGGTGTGATAGAAAGTGTGCTGAACACCAGCGATGAGTCGGAACAAGGCTACATGGTTGAGTGTGATCTCTCCGTTCCTGCTGACCGCCACCACCATCTAAACGACTATCCGCCCGCACCGGAGAAGATGTCGATCGACGAGAGCATGCTGTCACCATATCAACTTGAGCTCCGTGAATCCGTACCAGTCAGCGGCCTTACTGCCTCCAAACTCGTGCCCAATCTCCTGCCCAAGTCTCACTACGTGCTGCACTACAGAAACCTCAAGCTCTATCTGCGTCTGGGTCTGAAACTGGATGCAGTTCATCGGATTCTCAGATTCAAGCAAGAAGCCTGGATGCAGCCTTACATCATGGCTAATACCGAGCTGCGCAAGGCTGCGCAGAACGAGTTTGAACGCGACTTTTTCAAACTTATGAATAATGCTGTGTTTGGAAAAACCATGGAGAATGTGCGCCGCCGAGTAGGAATTCGCCTGCTCCGTGCAGGGTCCGAGGAAAGAGAAATCGTGAGAGCTATCAGCAAGCCCACATTTGTGAGATATGTCGCATTTGACAACGAGTTGATCGCGGTAGAGAACCGCAAGAAGCAAGTAAGCCTTAACAAGCCCGTCTACGTGGGAATGGCCGTGCTTGATCTGAGCAAGGAGTTGATGTATAGCTTCTTCTACGATCAGCTGAAGGTCAAGTACGGCGACAGGGTGCGACTACTGTACACAGACACGGACTCGCTGATACTGAATTTCCTCACCGACGATCTGTACGAGGACATGAAAGCTGATCTCCACGAGCTCTACGACACGAGCAACTATCCAGCAGGCCACCCGCTACGTTCGGATCGTAACAAGAAAGTGGTGGGCAAAATGAAGGACGAGCTCGGCGGCAAGCTCATGACCGAGTTTGTTGGCCTGAGATCGAAAGTATATTGTTTCGACGGTGAGGCGAGTGGACGTCGTGCTAAAGGCGTAAAGAAGAACGTCACCCATGCTCTGACCACTGCCGATTACAGACAGTGCCTGCTGGAGAAGACAGCCAGCTCGCGGGAGATGACCAACCTGCGCAGTCATGAGCACCGGATCTACACAGAGACGACGACCAAGCTGGCTCTCTCTCCTTTCGACAGCAAACGCTATATATTAGCAGACGGTTTCTCCACTCTGGCGTTTGGCCATCGTGATATTCCGCAGTCAAAGTGATGTGTGTGTGTGTGTGTGTACAGTAACTACCTTTACACTGACAGCTTAGATTAGATTAGATTAGAGCTTCTTCGAGGTGCATAGAAATAATATCATTGACATTCGTGTACACCCACTTATTGTTGCTCCATGGCATGTAATACTAGCCTTCATGCTGTAGCACACACACACACACACACACAGGATTGTACATATAACTCTTGACTCTTGAGGATTATTATTATTATTAGCCCAGGCTTCCTTCCTTAGTGTTCTCACCTAAATATATACATTTTGCAACGGCAATAGCCCCCCCCCCCCCCCCACACACACACACATTTCAGATGAATGGTCACAAGCACATGTTTTGGGTGATGATGATGATCACAATCTTCTGCATACGGTTATATTTTCAAGCAGAATTTATTCTGAGTGAAAAAGAGACAGAGAAAACAAAAGAAGAATATCTCAAGTCTTGATGTGTTCCAGCTGACTGTTCTCTATCCAGGTGTTGAATTTCTCCGGGTAGCCCTTCCACTGCACGAGGGATTTGCTGCCCCTCTTGCGTAGCACTTTGTCCACCCTGAACTGAGTTTGCACGGTTTTCTGTAGTTGCTCCTTGTAGAAACTTCCCACAATGGACTCGTTCATGAGATCACTAACTCCATAGGTGATTGGGGATGTGGGTAGAACTCGATCCACCACGAACACTTCTTCTGTCCAGTTGGGGGTGTAGCCTTTCTCGAAATGGCCTTTGCTCACCGCCAGTCTGACCTCATCACCAGGTGCAAAACTGGGAGTGGGTTTAGGCCCCACGACGGTGTGCTGACCTTGCACGTGGGGTTTGTTGCCCTTTTTAGACGCATCACTGGGTGTCATGGCAATGGCACGATGCCTGGTAGTGTTGTAGTTTTTCATCAGCTGGGGTAGCACGTCCACGAACACGTCGGTCGAATTTGCAGTGAAATGTTTCCACATGCGAGATTTGAGGGTTCTGTTGAACCGCTCAACCACCACTGCTTTGCCTTCGTTGTGCGTGCTGTACATGTGAACGTCGTTGTCCTGTAGCCATTTTCTAAAAGTGTGATTGTAAAACTCTCGCCCCTCGTCAACCCACAGTTTTCGGGGCTTTCTATGGCTGGTCGCGACAATGTGACGAAACGCATCTCTCACGGCCACGCCCGTCTTGTCCTTTAGCGGAATGGCCCATGCATAGCGACTGTAAAGATCGATTACGGTCAGCAGGTATCTGACGCCATCGTTGCTCTTCGAAAATACTTGCATGTCCACCAGGTCTGCACTCCACGTATCGTCCAGACCACGTGCAATCACACGTCGTCGCGGAAAGTGCACGCGCCGTTGCTTGTGCATGTCATGCGCAAGCCGTTCCGTCCACTTTTCGGGTTTATCACCGCCACCCAAAATCCTCCGATCGTTGTCCAGAGTACTGTCTGTGAAGACACTGGAGATGGCTGTTAGGGTTGCGTCGATGCCACGCTGGGAGAAGAGTCGACCGACAAGAATAGCATAATGTCCGCAAACGGCAGTGCTGGGGTGTTGAAGCACTTGAGTGTTAGTGTAGAGGGTACACTCCGGTGTGTAAGCATCCAGAAAGCAGCGTTTCAGATGCGGTTCGGTATAGTCCAACGACATCTGACGCAACGTGCGACCGAAGCTGTCGAAGACTAGCACGCGAGCAGCTTCTCTGCACACCGTGAGCCAATGATGTCCGCCTTCGGGCAGGTCGTAGTGGGGTAGTACATTGTCGGTGTTTACAACACAGAACTCAAGATCCCTCAAACTAGGTAGCAGGTCATAGCTGAATACACCCACGAAGCCAGGGCAATCCTTCAGCTGTGCTTCCACATCCGTATTGCTCAAAGGAATGTTCATTGTTGTTGTTGTTGTTGTTGTTGTTGTTGTTGTTGTTGTTGCTGTCGCTCCTCGACCTTCTATATCTTTATAGAGAATTTCCTCGAAGTATGTCCAGCACTTTGCCAATCGACCGATTGTTGTTCTTCAACACGCTGAGCACGAAATCCCTGTCGTTGGTCATGATCTTCTGTATCCCGTGCATAAAGTGATCGGGGCTCATGACCTGCGCCTCGAAGGCTCGCGAGTAGGTCTGACCCATCTCTTCCAGGCTCGCAAACTTACGCCCCGTCGATCCTGGAACGGTCAGGGACAGTTGTGCGATGGAGTGCAACTTGGTACGGAAACTTGTAAACCCAGGTACGTTAGGCGTGAGTCCGATTGCCTGAACGGTTATGTTTTCGAACGGATATCTGGACAGGTAAATGCGATTGGTTTCGTTCACTAGGGCACTATAGTCTCGCCAGACCAGTGTTTCAAGGTTGTCTCTCGCTCTTTCGAGCATACCCGCAAAGGAAGCGACATCGTCTTGGTAGAGCTGCTGTAGTTGCGCTCTCGGTGTGAAGTAGCTGCTCTTGAGGAACACGGCTGGGATGTTTCTCTGTGCGAGCACATCGGCGAGACCGCGCGATAGCAATCGCTCGAAATCCGTATCGCGAGTGATTTCCAGACCGAGAGTGGACGCCGGCGCTCTCTTCTTTTTCTTCACATCTGAGATCGAATCTCTCACCTGACCGGTGTTACCATCGTAGTTGAAGAGGTTGGAAGCGACAGCGTTCAGAATCGATTGGTAGTTGATGAGTTCTGGATTGTTCTTGAAGTGGCGCTCGTAGAGGTTCTTGATCCGGGGATGCTTTTGAAGCTCTACCAAAGGCAATTTGCCCAGGTCGTCGTGAGGCACGTGAGCAAGAGCCCTTTTCACACCTCTCAAAAACTCGTTGTACTTGTTGCCACCTCTTAGCTTCAGCTGTGGCGATGTGCCAATCACTTCCCAGGAGGATTTCCTCTTTTTGATCACGTGCTGCGAGTGTCGTTGCATGTACTGCAGAGTTTTCAAACGTTTAGTTTTGGGAATGGCAAAGCTTCCCTTCTCCCCCAACCTAGTGATGCTGCTCGGCAGGCCTTTGGCGAATCGAACGACGAGATGCTCCATTTCGTACTACTCTTTTAACTTCATGAAAAATTAATTTTAAAGTTTCGAGGGTTTTTGTGCTTAGTTTCCTGCTTACTTTTCTGCTAATTTTTCTGCTAACTTTCCTGGTAACTTTACCACGCGCATGCGCACGCACACACACACACACAGTCCAGAGAGAACGTTCCGGCGGGCTGAGATTATCATTCGAAGGTAACTTGGAATGTGTTGTCGTTGCAGTACGTGTAGTATTCATTGCGAGAGCAGTTTATAGTGAGAATGGGTCGTTGGCAAGCGGCGAGCAGCTTTTCGTAGAGGCGAAAGATCAGAGAGGACTTGGGACACTGACCACCGAACAGGGTGCTCAGGTAGCGTTTGATGTTGCTCTTGTCGGTGAAGCGGAACAGGTAGAGAAAGTTTGCGTTGATTTTCATGTCCTTGATGTTGTCGAAGCTCTGGGAAAGGAAGAACACGTTCAGCTTGTAATGATGGCTGTACATGGTGAAAAACTTGTAGAGGCACTCACGCTGATTACCATGCTTGAGGCCCATCACTCGAATATCATCGATGATCACGTAGGAGTGCGGCTGCACCTCCATCTCCTCTATGGAATCGGGCATGGTACTGTAGTGCTTGAAGCTCTTCATGCCTTCCCGCCGATACTGTTCTGCAGAGGTGTTGGAGATCACCACCAAGTGTTCGGGACGAACCTGGTCCAATAGTTTTTTCAAGAAGAAGCTCTTGCCCATGTTGCTCTGTCCGAGAAAAAGAACGTTCTGTCCCCATCCACGAAGAGCAGGCAGAATCTCCGAGAACCACTCTTTACGTTGATAATGAAGCCCGGCAATGGCTGGTGCACCACTTGCAGATGAGGGGGCACGGGCAGAGGGGGTAGCGAGAATGGAGGAGGAGGGGGAAGAAGCTGTGGAAGGGATGCGAGGCTGAGCACTGCGTCGTTGACCGACACCAAGTAGAGAGCGGAAATCCATAATGCCTCACAGTCTAATGCATAGCCTGTCTCTCTCTCTCTCTCTCTCTCTCTCTCTCTCTTATTGATTGGAGGGAAAAATACCTCAGATGTTGAAGGTCTGTCCTATGTGTGAAGATGATATTGGGGTAGTATCCGTGTTGGTTGCTCTAGCCAGATTCTCGCGTATCTTGCGAGCGAATGGTGTACCTGCAGGACCTTTGGCACGGTGCTGACGTCGACGACTGGTGGATGAGGCAAGTTTTGATTTGATTTTAGACCTGCCAGCAGACTTGGCCTTCTGAAACAAGCGTCGACCCGTAGATTGCAGGCGATCGCCGATGTGACTTTTCGCTTCACGTAGCAGCAATGAAGCAGCAGTGCCTTTGCGGGTCTTTCGAGCCTGTCCCCGCTTCCTGGGAGCAGCTCGTCCACGCGTCTTCTTCCCGTGTGATACCCTTCGGCCTGTCTTAACCCTTCCGCTTGTCTTACGACGACCGCTCTGGCGCGTTCCACGAGGTTTTCTCACACTCCTGTTCTTCGTTTTCCCATACGACTTCGAAACGCCATCGCCAAACACCTTGTCCACCACATTGTCACCGACAGAGGCTAGTGCACCCATGGCCAGAGGAATACCCAGGGATTTCAGAAGAGGCAGCCCCTTCGAAATCAAGGCAGGGGGGATGGTCAGTCCACCACGAAGCATGATCGGATCATGTGCAGTTTTCATTTGACTCTCCACATTGCTGCCAGCCTTGCCCTTTCCCAACAGCGTGGGCAAGAGACTCAAGCCCGCGAGTGCCCAGGGAAATCCGCCGCGTTGCATGATCATCTGACTCTTGGCAGGATCTGCCATGTGTTGCTGTAGCTCTCCAGGTCCCAGTCCTAGCATCTTGCCAATGAATCCCAGAAAGCCGCCGCTTTGCCGCTGCATAGTTCTCAAGTCACCTCCCCTTGCAGGAGGTGCGCCGCCGCCGATGCTCAACTGTCCACCATCCATCGTTCTGTTTTTACTTTAGGACGGAGAAAATTCCGCTCTCTCACACCACT